AACAGGACTCCTTTTTCTTCAATAAAGATCAGTTACAGGAGTTTGGGAGAGCCTCAGATGTCCAAAAACAGAATGTGACTGGCTACCATTATTTCTCCAAAATCTCAGGATATATTGATAGTCACTACGAAAAGGGAGAACTGTATATGGAATTTTTGAAAGATGGCTGCACGAGAGACGCAGGGAAACCTTGCACAACTTGTAGTTCAGGATGGATCGGTCCAGTGATGGAAAGAATTCCTCGGCCATTCCCCGACGAAACAACTTTCAAGTACAAGTCTGTATTTGAATCCCCAGGAAGTTCGGCTGAGGATGAACCAAGACCTCCCGATGATTTTTTGCCAAGGGCGCAAATAAAGAGCTGGTTTGGTCAGGGAAACCTCGACTCCGAGGAAAAGATTGCGGAATTTTCAAAACGGTTCATCGTACCATCAGAGCTGGTGAAGTCATATATAGATCACTTGAAACATTTAAACTATACCAAGCAACTCAGAATTTCTGTGTGGCAGCTGAACAGGAACGTCAAAGAAGCAAAGACAAAAAGTATGAGGAGTACAACTGGGAAGAACTTCTTTTGACCGGCGGCCTTAAATTGCTCTATGTATTTGAACTAGATAAATACCTTAAACATCACTCGTTACCGTGGAGACGCAAACTGAAAGAAGAGAAGGTGTTGATCATCACAGCCCATGTTCACGAGAGCAAGGGTTCAAGTCTAGAAGAAGTCGTTGTTACTGGAAAAGCTCTCCTTCTTCCGGTAGAAAACCCCGCTGATTCGGAAGAGTCAGAGAGTGAGGAGGAAATCTTGTTTGAAACGAGCAGTTATCCTGGATGTGAAAGCACTAGTTGTAGTAGCCAGAGCAGTGCCAGTGGCGATGAGAGTGAAAGTGATGTAGACTTACCTGTCAGGATACCCACAAACACAAGAAGTGGACGAAAATCAACACGTTTTTTATTCTAAGACTATGTTAAAGTTTTCTGTTTTCGAAGACATGAATTCGCATGCAAACGCCTTCCTCCACGTGTCCGAGGATATAATATACTTGATTTCAAACAAACAAATATGATCTACTTTGATATATATGTATATGTATATATGTATATAGAGGGCCACAAATTTATCAATAGAATAGTGTTGCACCACTGTTGAGTAACGTCCCTTTTGAAAATAAAATCCATTGTGTTTTCCTGATCATATAACTATGTTATATTTGTTACATTCATAGTCGTAGACAAGTTTGCCGTACTCATTTTTTGCGACTTTTTCGACAAAATATTTCACGAGACTTTATTTTTGCGATCTTGACACGAAACAATAAAACAAAGATTAAAGTGGAAAAGGATTAAGACAGTATAAATCATTCATAGTCGGAAGTCTTTAAATTAATTTCGCGATTTTTTGCAATCAAGAAAATTACGAAATTAAGTGCGAACATTGTAGTGTTTCTTGATGACCCCCCATTCCGGATTCTTAACTTATTATCTACAGCCCCCCCTAACGATTACAGATAAAAATAGCTGACCCCCCCGTGAAATCTCACCGCCCCACACACACATAAATTATGAACGCTCCCTTAATCGACTTCAAAATAATGTGTCAACATTGCGTGTTGCACCCTGTGGACATGAATATTTTCGTTTGTTTGACAATAACACTTGTCTTCATTGGTTTTAATCTCTGATTGACAATATATTCATTGGTCTCAGAGTCCTAAACTTAAGGAAGATGGATGACATTGGGACAGAATGATTTTGTTCAATGTTGCTGTTCAGGTATCAAAATTTATGGACATATACCTGTATATGAACTTCATTGTTTTTTTACTTCATCTGCCTCACTTGTCACAATTGGGCCCTGTTCATATTACCTGGCTAGGTGGGAGACAACATTTGCCAGTATGTTCTATATCCTATCCGGCTATCCTGCTACTATCGGCCTAGCTAAGCGTGAGGTTTCCATTGCCAGAATCCTGGCTATATGTAAGCCAAGAAATTCACCATATACAATAAGGATCAATAAGCACTGTATACCAAACAGGCAACATGAATTAGGCTTCAAGCATGTGTTCTGGATAGGTCCCCAATAGATCCCGATCTACTATAATTGAAACATTTTAGTCGATAAATTTGTGCATTACCAGAATACCTGTGCACAAATGAATATTTTACACATATTATATAATGCAATCCAATATTAAGACCCCAGTAACCTCACAAATAGGCCTCCCTTCCAAAAATCAGATCTCCCTTCCAAAAATAAGCTCTCCCTGTTAAGGGCTGTCAAAATGGGCCATGCTAGCCCAGCAAACATGGCTGGATTTTCTTTTCAGGGCTAGTTTGTCATTTGCCTGACAGGAGCCAGGCTAACCTGGCAACTGTTGTCAAGAAATTTGTGTGAAATGCTGGTTAATTTGTTAATGACAACAGCTTCAGAAGGCTTATATTAATCAATTTCTTACTTACTTGGGCCAAATTGTGTATTATAACATGATTTTTAGTCGAGTGAGCTGGTTGGCCAGCTTATGATCTTTATTAGTGTGAGACTCCCAATGCAGGATATCAACTTGCTCAAGCAAATGCTGGGCCAATAAATTCAACCAGGCTGTTTCATGTGAATGCAATCTCAAACATATATAAAATTAATATACGAGGCAGTATCTTACCATGGGCAGGTGTATATTTAGCCCATATAAATGGGCAAGACCAGCTTGCATGCCCAGTGTGATATTATACTACTGACAATACCTGGTTGATTCTACAAGATTATGGCCTAAAATGTTCCAATTGTAGTTTCAGGATCTGCTAAGGGTCTGTTGTATATGATCTGGGCTAGGCAGCATGGGACCCTAAAGGCAAGTTCATGTTGCCTGGTTGTGGGATAGAATGTTTACTGTAAATGGTGAATTTCTTGGCTTGCATAGTTGGGATTCTGGCAACGGATACCTTGTGCTTAGCCAGGATAGTAGCAGGATAGTATATCGGCAATACTGGCAAATGTTGTCTCCTGCCTAGCCAGGTCATAAGAACAGGCCCCATTTGTGACTAGTGGGCCAGATTAAGGAAGAAACAATGAGGGTCCTATGACTATGCTCTGTGACTATATATGTCCATAAATTTTGATATCTGAACAGAATTTTGATATCTGTCCCAAAGTCATCCATCTTCCTTAAGTTTAGGACTCTGAGACCAATGAATATATTGTCATTCAAGGATTAAAAACAGTGAAGAAAAGTGTTATGGTCAAACAAAAAGAAAATATTCATATCCACAGGCTGCAACACGCAATGTTGACACATTATTTTGAAGTCGACTAAGCTCGACTATCGAACTAAATGTCGAAATCGACGAAAAACGAGCCAAAAAACAGTTATTGAGCTAATCAATCAAATAAATACTTGGCATAAGTTTGAAGGTCCATAGTCCAAATATTTGATGAGCTTCTTTATCCCATTTATACCAACAAAATTTTAAAAATTCCCTGTATTTAGATATTCACCATATTGATCGCCACGCTGTTTGGTAAGAAATCGACATGTCAACTTGTCCCGGCCCGGAAATGCCCTTTTTACTTGTTACACAGGATATTAATAAGTTAATGTGAAAATATGAAGATAAAAGTATCTTTTAAAAAATAAAACCTCTCAAACCTCGATTTGAAAGGCTTTTAAAAACGCTAATCCGTTCGGAACCTACAAATTCGAGGGGTGATATTTAAGCCTGCGCAACGCAAAGTTTGAAGACCCATATCTTCGCAATCACGCAATTAATCAAAAATCGCCATGAGAAAGTTGAGGAGAATTCTTTTAAGAACAACATATATGAATTTCATGGAAAAAAACCCAAAGAACCGCTTGCAGAAAAGCTCTGAAGTAACCCCATATGTTTGTTTACAAATTTTATGTGATGAAGCATTTTACGCATTCTGATTGGCTTAGGGCAAAAATGTAAACAAAAACGCTGATTGGTCGAGAACGAAATTCCCCCTTGTTCGGATTATACGGGCTTTTTTTACAAAGTACTGTTTAATAAACGAGCAGGAGTGTTTTATTGTGTTTAAAGCCACGAGCGCGCAGCGCGAGTGGCTTTAGACCTAATAAAACACGACCTGCGAGTTTATTAACAGTTTTGACGGCTTCAAACACGACTACAAATTCAATAGATATACTGCCTTATTACTATTCTTTATATAAAAAATACTAATGAGGCCACGACTACAATAGATACTGCCTTATTAGTATTCTTTATAAAGGATACTAATTAGGAGTGTTTTATCAGGTTTAAAGCCACTGCACGTGACATATTATGGTTGACATGATTTGCCAATAAGCTTATGAATTATTAATGAGTGTTTGAAGAACGCTATAAAGACTGCATTTTAATGTTTTTTCTAAAAATGACAAATATTGGAAATTTTGGATGGAAGCCCACATTATCAACAATTTAATTGTTTTGATGAAAAACATTTTTCTCCTTAAACGCTGTTACATATAAATTCTGGCATGTATCTTCAAATTCAATGCTGTATCAACAACAATTTTCTCGATTTGTGTTAAAATTTTATTCAAGTAGCTGATTTCAACAGATTGACCTTTGCCCCCTGATCAGTGGTTCTATATTGTTCATGGTGATGATGGTATTATCCTTGGTACTCCTGCCTGTCATGCACTTGGTGTGATTGATGATGACTGGCCTATTTCTACACTACTTCAGAACCTTAACCATCCCTCATCAGTGAATACCCTCGACGCATCAGAAAACAACCCTCAGATATGTGACAACAAACCGACCGAAGTCGACCATCTGGTCCCAAACCCTCCCACGTCTGATGATGAACTTTTGTCTGATTTGAATTGGCAACCTACCTCCTGTCCTTCTGAATCATCAGTCAAAGTCACTTCTGTTATTGCAAATGGACAAACATTAACTATTCTGAGGACACAAATTTCACTCCACTTTTGCAATCTTATAATGATATTTTTGATGACACAATTCTCCCGGAGATGAAAGGTGATGCCTTCAAGATTAATCTCAAACCTGATGTTCAACCCTATGCCCAAGCGAAAGCAAGGAAAATCCCGATTCCCTACATGGATCAACTTAAGAAGCAACTTGATGAAATCGAACGTCTTGGTGTTATCTCAGTCCATGAAGAGCCAAGCACTTGGTGTCATCCAATCGTTATTGCACCTAAGAAAGATAGTGACGAACTGAGAATCTGCATTGACTTCACCCACCTCAATAAGTTTATCCGGCGTGAATTCCACCCTAGTAATTCACCCTTCGAAGCTGTAACAAGCATTCCTGCTGAAGAGCTCAAATATTTCTGCAAATTCGATGCTCGTCAAATTCCACTGCACCCTGAGTCTCGTCCCTTAACCTGTTTCATCACACCCTTTGGTAGATATGTGTGTAATCGAGCCGCATTCGGAATCAGCAGTATCAGTGAGTGGTACAACCGTCGCATGGACAATGTTGTCAATGGCCTACAAGGTATCCGTAAGATCGTAGATGATGTTATCGTCTATGCACCAACCCTCTCTGCTTTGAAGAAACGCGTTCACGCCTTCCTAGACCGATGCTCCACGAATGGGGTCACACTGAAGCGTTCAAAGTCCCAGATAGCTGTCACTGAAGCTGATTTTGGCGGATTTCACCTGTCAGAATTGGGCATCCAATGCAGTTCAGATCTCCTCAAGTCCATCCGCAATTTTCCACGACCGAAGAATCGTACTGATCTACGCTCCTGGTTTGGTCTGGTGAATCAACTTGGCCATTTTCCCCAGGAGATAACCCAAGTCATGGAACCTTTTCGCCCTCTGCTTCAGAAGAACTCATGCTACCTCTGGTCGCCAGAACATGAGCAAGCATTCAACGCAGCTAAACGTCGCCTCAGCTCACCACCTGTCCTAACCTACTTTGCTGTCAACCGTCCAACTTTGCTCGCCACTGATGCATCTCGTCTGCACGGTCTTGGTTTTGTCCTTCTACAAATGGTTGACGGCGTATGGAAGTCTGTTCAAGCGGGTTCCAGATTCTTGACCCCCACCGAAAGCCGCTATGCTATGATAGAGCTGGAAGCTCTTGGTGCTTGCTGGGCCATGAAGAAATGTGATATGTTCCTTCGGGGCCTACCTCACTTCAAACTCGTCACCGATCACCGACCCCTTATTCCCATCCTGAATTCGAAAGGGATTGCTGATGTCGAGAATCCTCGCCTGCAACGCCTCATGATGAAAATGCTGCCTTATACGTTTACTGCAGAATGGATTAAAGGCAAAGGTCACCTCGCTGCAGACGCACTCTCCCGTTTTCCCGTTGATAAACCTTGTCTTGAAGATGAACTATGCGAGTTGCATGCCGAAGCTGCTGTGAATGTTCACTTTGTTGACAAGTCAACTACTGCCAGTCAGCTTCAGGAACTTTTCCACCATCAACAAGCCGATGATACACTCTTGAAAGTCATCCAAATGCGAAATGAAGTCGAAGAAGAGGCACGCCCCTTTTGGTCCATTCGTCATATCCTCTACATGGCGTCTGTTGGAGAGAACTCTATCTTACTTATGAATGGCAAACTGTCATCCCCACCCAGCAACAAAAGAAAACATTAAACAACCTTCATGAAGGACACCAAGGGATTGAAAAAACTCGCCGCAGTGCTCATAATTCTGTATATTAGCCTGGGATGAACCACGACATCGAAGAAATGGTAAAACGCTGCTCTGAATGTCGAACTCTTCTTCCTGTCAATCCCAAAGAACCTCTGCAGCAACCACCTCTACCCACACGACCTTGGGACAAACTAGGCGTTGACCTTTATAGTTTTAATGACCGAGAATACCTTATTGTCACAGACTATTTCTCCTCCTTCACTGAAGTTTATGATCTTGGTAAAGACGCAACAGCACCAGCGTTGATCAAAGAACTCACGCAATTGTTCTCTCGATTTGGTCAACCTGTTGAAGTCGTATCAGACGGTGGTTCACAGTTTACTTGCAAAGCCTTTGCAACGTTTGTTGAAAGTTGGAATTTTATACACACTCTTCTCCTACTCACGCTCAGTCAAATGGCAAAGCCGAAGCCGCGGTAAAGAATGTCAAGAAGCTCCTCAAAAAGTGTGGCTCTATGAATGACCAATTTTGGAAAGGTCTGCTGGCAATTCGAAATACTCCTCTCTTATGTGGTAAGAGTCCTGCAGAATTGCTGCTTGGCAGAACACTCCACGATTCCTTCCCTCGTTATCCTGGTCCAACAACGTTAGATAATGTGAAGTAAATTGCGCAATATCGGAAATT